AACTTTACGTTAATGCCGTCTCCTGTAGAGAGTGGTGACAGTTTGTACTATACGTCAATGTCGTCTCCTGTAGAGAGTGGTGACAGTTTGAACTTTACGTTAATGCCGTCTCCTGTAGAGAGTGGTGACAGTTTGTACTAAACGTTAATGCCGTCTCCTGTAGATACCTCTTGAAAAGTACTTAATCATTAGGCTACTGAGAGACGGCGTGGTAATTTTGATAGTGTATTCAAAGACATCGTCGTGTCTGTAAAAACAAGCATCGTTTGACTATGTTGCCGAACAGTTATTCGGCGGCATGTAATCCTTAATATGAAAGATTAAACCAGTTCACTACCTTTGCCTGTTGTTCCAGAAAGAGGGCTATGACGTGATACCAACAGTGGTTTCTTATATTGCGATCAGTGGCGGTGATAGTAGCGGCGAGAACGGGAACTAGAAGGAAGCGATTGCATTCGAATTTGACTTAATACATTTAGGACAGGCGATGTTCACTATAGTCTAACAATATACTATACAACTGACATTCCGTTATAGACGGCTAAAATGACATCAGATACATTCAGAAATGATGGCTACAATCTAGAAGCGCAACGTTAATTTTCGGTCAACATGAAATTGCAAAGCAGCTGTATGCAAAACCCGAAAGTCGGGGACAAACACGTAAGCAGCTCTGCCAAGGAACAGTTGATGGAAATCTGACAAACATTAAAAGAAAAGTCGATGATCAGTGCATTATACTCGTATGAATCTAAAGGTAATAATTATAGTAATACTCCATAGCAGCCTTGCGCGACCGGTAGCCATCGCAACCTTCCTGACGCATTGCAACAATGAGAGAATGAAAACGATTTCTTCGGAGAATGAAACATTCAAGCGGACGATGACGATTGATACAGTATGTTTAGGTGATGCCCGCACCTAGCATCAACATCAGATACAAACCACATACCATCATCATTCCGCATCACATCAGTGTAAGCAACAGAGACCGACGCTGCTTAAAGGTCTGATACGAATGGTAATTAAAAGCAAACCTCGAGAAAGATAATGATCAAACGTGTAAATCCTTCTGAGTTCATGTGGCATTCATATCAGCTTTGGATGCCATCGTCCACGTGTTGACGTCATCGTTACTGATCATGATGTCATAGTTGTTCGTTGGAGACCAACTTTGTTTGAAAATGATGGTCTTGGTTTTCTTTACACAAGCATACCCAATACAATGACATTCACATATTGAACTAAATGCTGAGTTTGATAAATAAATGAATAAATAAGCTAACCTTATGTGAGACGAAAATAAATTTCGTCACGTTCCAATTGGCATTCATACTGACTATGAATGCTGACTGAAGCACTGACATGGGCAAAGCAGAATCGGACCAACAAGAGTGATTAATTATATAGGTTGAAATAACTTGATTCATAATTGTTGTAAAAAAACCCAGATATTTCTTATTTTGATAGTAAAGCCTGTACTGGTTCCTGGTTTTTGAAACTTCAACATCACTTATTTACTGATTATGCTTCAACAAAAATCAAACACTTTCAAAACCTCGGGTAAAACTAATTAATTCCCTTATAATAATATAACAAGTTTCGTAATTGTCGCCATTAGCAAAAGTTGGTTCACCCCATGAGAGATCAATGAAACTTATAATTCACGAGATTTTCTTTTGGAATTAATCCTAGTTATGACTGCTAATACATGTATGTATAGATAAAAGCGCCAGTATAGGACATGGACTCCCATGCGATGGCAAGCGCTGTCCAAGACGTCCAAGCTGGTTACATATCTCTAAGGTAAGCATCTGCAAAAAAATCTGGTTCCACGATCCTCCCTAAGTGACAGAATTACTGGGAAAGTTAAAGTAAATTTTGTGTAGGGATCTAAACTAAAGATTGAAATCGATGACGAAACCAAATTAATTAAGTGCTTAGACAACAGCAGATATGGTTATCGGATGTTAAAAATAATATATTTCCTTCGGACAGCAAAGGAGTCGCTATAAGGACAAGACGTCCATTTCAACACCAGAACCTTTCGAGATGTGGTGGAGGAGACTGAATGGACGACATGCGGATGTTCCCCTTATATAAGGTCACCGATAGCCACATGTGCAAACCGCCATTCTGCGAGCATCCTCGATATCCAGGGATTATGCTCACGTTCGCTCTCTACACACCTAGAATAATATCCTTGATATCCAGGGGGTTACGCTCACTTTCGCTCTCTTCACCCCTGGAATATGTCATAGCAGGAATATGCCACTTAACCAGGGGTGTAGAGAGCGAAAATGAGCAGAACCCCTGGATAACGAGGATGTGTGTATATATGAAAGTGAGTGGACAACAGGCGGCATAGGGAGGCTATGGTTCACATCGATCTTTCTTCCGTGTATTGGAGAGCATCGCTCTCAGATGTTGGTGTGTGACGGCCCACAACAACAAAGATTTAATGAGCTTGCCCGAAAGAAAATATCATCGTGATTGAACTACCAAGCCATGCAAGTCACTGGACTCAGCCCTTACCAGAGGTTACTTCAAATCTTTGAAAAAAACTAATGGAACAATGGAACATTTAGATAGACAACTTTGTTCAGAATGGTTTTCGAATGCATACATAGGAATCAGCCTCTGAATCTAATAAAAGAAATACCAGCCCATTTGATATTCATACGCAAATAACTAGTCAACAGAAGAAGAAAAAACAGTCTAAACAAAAAGAAACTGGAAACCCTGTACTTTGTTATTAGGCCAACTTCAGATGAGCAGCACCTGGTCAAGTATTCTTTAAGGGGTTCCCAAGGGATCTATCCAGGGCCCCCTTCTTTTCAACATATTTATAAATGATATTTTTGATTGTGTTGAAGATTCATCTCTTTACAACTATGCAGATGATAATGCTATAGGTAACACCCATAAGGATCCTACTGTCTTAAAATCCATTTTAGAAAAAGATTGTACTCATATTATTGATTGGTTTATTAAAAATGATATGAAAGCCAATCCTGAAAAGTTTCAGGCAATTAGCATTGGAAAACGAAAATTTAATAAAATAAAATCTTTTGATATTGGAGGTATATCTCTTAATTGTGAAAACAATGTCAAATTACTAGGTGTACATTTTGATTATTTATTGAACTTTGACTATTACATCTCAGAGCTCTGTAAAAAAGCTTCCAGACAATTATCTGTACTGAAAAGGATAGGTAATTTTTTGTCTAGGGAAGGGAGAAAAAATATTTACAACTGATTCCTTGTTTCAAGTTTTAATTAGTGCCCTCTTGTTTGGCATTTCTGTTTGGTAAAAAGTGTACGGAAAATGGAAAAAAAATCAAGAAAGATCACTACGATTTGTATATAGTGACTTTTTGTCTTCCTTTTGAAATTTTAGTCCAAAAATCAAACTCTGATTTACTACATATAAGACGTTTGAGAGACATCGCCTGTGAAGTCTATAAAATAGTTAAGAAAATCTCTCCACGCTTTATTCATGATATGATTGAAATAAAGGTAACTAATTATAATTGCAGACAAGAGAATACAGCTGTATTACCTAGGTCAACACTACAAGGTATGGACTCATATCTTTCTCCTACGAGGCCGCCCGGCGTGGAACAGTCTTCCCAATCAACTCAGAAAAGTAGACAGGTACAATGAATTTAGGAGACTGGTCCAGACCTGGGATGGCCCCATTTGCTCTTGTAAAGTCTGTCGCAGTGTGTAGTTCATGTACATGTGGCAAGTCCGCTTTGCTTCATGTTTAGTTATGTGTGTGTTTTATGCTGCTTCTTCGGATTTGTGCGAATGTTTGCTCTTATTATTATTTTATTCATTTAATTTATTTTATTACTATATTTATATGTTGTAAATGTGTTTTATATTGTGCTGATAGTGAAAAATTGTAGTTCATAATATCTGTTTTTATGTGTATGTGCTTTGCTTCAATGTTTTATACTAGTATGTATTTTATGGTAAAAATAACTGTCCTGCTATATGTATGCATGCATATATATTTAGCTTATAACTTTGCATGGAGACTTATGTTTTAACACTTTCTGTTTCATAATGTTTTACATATATGTAATTTCTTGAGTTGATGCTTTTTACTTATGTTTGTCAAAATAATAGCTTTTAATAGCTAATGTTAAATGTTTTTAAATATCCGACGTTAAATAAAGTTTATTGTATTGTATTGTAACACGTTGTATGACGAACTCGTCATCAGAGATTGTGCGAGTTATTCCCCTTGTACTGGCAGTCAGTCAAATAAAGAAAACTTTTTTATTGGTCAATCAAGTTCAGACATGCTCAATCAGATTTCAAGATGGCAGAAGGCGGAAGGCATGAACTTGTTTACATTCGACGGTATGTGTATAAACTACATAGTAATCAATGTTAAGAAATAGAATTAGAAACGATTCAAGCCACAAGAGACATAACATTTTCGTTACTGTTAGGCTGAGCTAAATAATAAAATGATTTCGAAATTAGATCAGGCGCGTTACCAATTTTGACGGATACGTTATCATTATGCAATTTGCATTTGGGTTTGGATGTGTTTATTGTTACTGACAGCTCCATCCCCGACTAGATACTCATAGTATTTGTCATATACTTTTAATGTATCTAACGTTAATGGAAAATGGAGTGTTTGTCACTTTTAAGCTTTCAGTGTACAAACGGGAATCGAACCAGAGACCCACAGGTTCCCTTTCCGCCGCTCTGCACTTAGCCCGAGTTAACTGTGGTCCTGACACCAGACTTAGGCAGTTTGATAGATATATGTCTGGTGTAGACAAATAACTGTCAAAATGTCTAAGTTGTCGGGGCCAGGGCAGAGGAAACTCTGGCAACTCTTCACTTAGCCGAGTTTTCTCTGGACCTAACACCAGACTTAGACATTTTGACATAGGCCTATAACTGTTAGATGTCTTGTGTGGGGCCAGAGAGCACTGCTATATGAAAACGTGGAACTCTCCGACACCGTTTGATATTTGAGAGTTATGAGTTGTTCTCTCCAGCCCGATGCTCTACCGCTGAGCTAAAGGGAAATTCCCCTACATCTGACGCTTGTAAGGCCACCTAATCAATGCACTTCTTTTACAATTTTCGTAGGTCATGGAGTGACTTAATCAACTGAAACCGTACTGATCTCCGGACCGAAAACGGAATATATTATTCTTGTTTAGAAGATTTCCAGACCATGTTTTTTTGTTGATTAGTCACTCACGATACCAATTGGTGTCGGAGAATTCCAGGTTTTCATATAGCAGTGCGCTCTGGCCCCACACCAGACATCTGTATGTCAAAATGTCTGATTATCCCTGTCAAAATTTTCATATTTAATGTTTTTGTGTATTAAAAGGTTAAACACCGGAGCTATAATCATGTATGAAGTGTGAAACACCACCAGCAGCATGCCTGTAGTCCCAGTCCTCATGGTCCTCTACACAAATGATGCTGTTGAAGTCAGGTACTCGGACGGTTCCTGCCTCAAGATGGCTCCATGTGGCTCCACCTTTGTGCATCACCAAAGTCCAGGGGAGACTATTCACCCTGCTCATGGTAATTAAAAGAAGCTTTATTCTTACAAGTTTTACATCCCTCCCTACTTCAGCTTTGTAAAGTGTGACTCAATATAAATAAGCTTATATATATGCAGTGAAAAAATGCTTGGTGGTATGATATTTGTTTAAAATATGGCACCGTTCACGGTTCAGCGATATAACAGTTTGATGACAGCCATTTATTCAGCTTGGTACCTTCAATTCTGTAAGCATGGAACATATTCGGGATCCGTTATTTCCAATTATGCAACAAAGGGATGCTGACAAACTTCTTTTTCCATGCATATATATTCCAATTTCTTTGACAGTAAAGTAAACATTGACATCTTCGCTCTGGAACATGCAACCGCATCACTACCAGAGCAGTCCATAAAGATCATTATAAATTAATAAAAATGTTTGAAAGGCTGCTCAGAATAATCTATTTAAAATAATTTCAAAGGTATGATTTATGAAAAGAAGAAAAGAATAGTGTTGTTCACAGCTGTGTATAGAGTCATGATGCACTCTTCAGTAATGGCCCACTGAGGAATGGATTTGCAGTGGCTCTGCAAATTTTTGTTTTTAAGGAAAACTTATTTTGTATACTTAATTTATTTGTATTATTGAAATTAGAAATGTTTGATTTAATAAAAAACATAGTTTGACAAAGAAATGCCAGTGAAAAGGCAAATTATTTTTTCTGAATAAATTCATATATCGATATATCGATGTAGATTCGTTGGAACAGCTGCAGCAATTCACTTCAAACTAAGTGCAAACATGTGTACAGTAGCATTCAGGTCTTGAAATTCATGTGAGCATTAGTAACATTGATATTATTTATTTAGTTGACATGAAGTTTGTGTTTTGAACAGGTATGAAGGTGATCAATCAGAGATGTCAGTTTGTGACTAGTGACTATAGACAGAAGGTGTTGGAAGCGCTCGACTTTAGGAACAGATTCGCTGAACGGCCATATGTGTGTCCAGACCTCTTACTACAGGATCAGCTGGTGGTAGGGACCAAAAACAGCAATACCAAATAAAGATTGCTAATTTATCTCTACATAAAATCAAACTTTTATGTAAATAAATTTGATTACACTGCTGCATACTCGGTGGTCACTGATGAAACAGTCATTTTATTCCGAGCACAAGTGTAAAATTATATATAAGTTCAACTGCATAGGTAGCAGTATACAGTAGAAATGGGCCGACTCTGATAAACAAGGCACATGTCGAGGAAACGTAAACACAGCGGATTTATCCTACACAACACATGTATACATGAATATATATTTGTAAACTGCATCACATTTACAATACATATAAAGTACTGAGAAGTGTATAATCCTCTTTATTCTATGTATGTCACTTGTGTGAAAACCATGGTTACCACATCAAAAATTACCAAAAAATGCCAAAAAATGCTATTTTTGACCCAAAATTTGACCCCCGCAACTAGTAATTTTTTTAAAGTTCTGTCTGAAATTAAAGATTCCCTACTTGGTTGCAGAATTATCTGGGTCCCAGTTAAGTTGTCAAACTTGATTTTTTGCAATTTTGCGTCGTGTGCTGTTGTCAAAATTTTACCTCCTGTAAAGCTAGCTTTTCATGTGTAGGCACCCTTTCGGATTATGGCCAAAATTTTGATCTCGAACCAAACATTTTTTTATTTTTTTTACAAATGTGAAGCTCACATATAGCCACTTCATCATGCTTATACCAATTTTAGTACAGTTTTATTTTTATATTTTTTTTTACATATCATGATACAGGGGTTAGCCATTTAACAAAAATATCACCCATGGCCACAACCCTCTACTGTATACTGCTACCATACTAGCAATGAAAAGATTGTTTGAATCAGAGCAACCACAGGGCTAGACTGCAGACGATAAGGGTAACTCGACATTCAGAGACTAGTGAAATCGCTAGGTGGACTAGTGGCTCTAGTCAAAATCTGATATTGCCTATCTTGTAGAGCAGTATTGGGTAAGTGGAATTTGCATATGGATTATTAAAAATTGGAAACTCCTACCGCAATTGACTATAGTGGTATTCAAAATCAATTTCTAGCCCTGCACTCATTTAAATAGTTATAACGATTAACTCTGTGAGAAGTTTTTTATATGATGACAGTTTCAATTCTAAAACATTGGACTTCTGAATACATTGCGGTTATGTTTTACTCAATGAGATGATTGTTTGAATCAGGGCCAGAGAATATATTGAGTGAATATTTGATTAGCTCTGTTAAAAGGTTACAATTAAAAAACACCCATTACTTACCAGTTCATAGTGGTAAGTTACTTATGACCAGTATGTAACACTTACAGTCCATCAATGTTTACTTACAGTGTTTATATGCAAACATCCGTGACGTGGCCTGGCCTCAGACTCTGGAGAAGGCTTCCTACGAGTACCTTCCTGATGGAAGTGTGCGACTAATGTCTGAGGATGAACATTCCAGTATGGTACTCTCTACACACAAACAGGATTTCACTGTCTGTTACCTCTCCAAGGTTAGCCGTGACAAACCAAAGGTCAAGGCCAGACACAAGTTCAAGGCCAGGAGCATGACAGCTACCAACAACCGAATGTCAACAGAAAGGGCTTCAAGACAAGAACGTTTTAAATCACGAGATGAAGAACATAAAATTTCTCCTGGGAATGGAAATTTGAGCAATAATCATTATTCAAGTAGAAATATAATGAACGTCGAAAGAACTGGAACAAATATAAACTCAGAACCAAGGAATATCTCAGACGAGTTGGTTCAGAATGAGAATACAGTATCAGATCATACAGCAAGGTCAGAAGTGGCAGGTCATAGTAGTGAACAGAAAACAACAGAAACAGATTCCATAACAGCAAAACATAATCATGATAGAGACAATTGTGAGAGTGAAGGGTCAAAGGAAGGTCATAAGAAACTAACAAGGGAGACAGATTCTGTGGAGGGAGACAGTGGCAGTCCGTTGTCCGATGACCTCCAGCGTCGACTAACTGGTGACCTTAGTATCTCTCCTATCAGTCTTGTGAGTGGACTGCGTAGTGAAAAGTCCTCCCCCTGTACAGAGGAGGAGTATCGCCGGTATTCCACACCTACTCACTTTCAATCTGACACCCAGGGGGCGGAGACTCGGCAGTGTGTACCTGGCAAGGGTGCTGCTATTAGACAGTACAAACGTGAACAACAACCAGACGATGGGTCATTTCTCGACTATCCTCCCGTCAAAAATAAAAATGAAGATGTTGACTCTGCACTGGATGAGACTTTAACCAGTCATAATGTGTCACAAGACCCGCAGAGAAATCAAATTCATGCCGGATCTAGTCCAACTAGCATTCCCAACGTAATGCAAAAACCTTCACCTATTGAGTCTAGATCAAAACCATTAATTAGAGGAGAAATACGTCAAAAACCTTCATTCGAACAAGAGATGTATATCAGGGGCAAAAAATCAAATGAATCTAGTCCAAGTAGCCAATCAGAAAGAAGAGCAGAAGGGTCATGGGAGGAGCCTTACCTGAGAAACCAATCGGGTGAAAGGGAGGTTGGGTCGTGGGAGGAATATAGTCCAGGAAGCCAATCAGGAGACAGGGAGGCTGGATCATGGGAGGAATCTCCCGAGGCTCGCATACATTACACCTGGGTGACGAGACACTACTCCTGTGAGGAATGTCCGGTGGTGTGGAGTCACTGTGTCAATTTGGCCCGAGCTGTGCTGGACAACAGGGAAAGTTTGGAGCAGAAAGCCTGTAAGTTATTTACTTACATGTACCATATTGACTGTTACAATCATAGGGTAACACGATTAGAAGATACAGAGTAACTATTCTAGCTATTTTAAAAGATGGAAATATAATGCAAGAAATAGAAATAGCTCCAAAGCGTCAAACATTTAATGTTCTATCCTCTAAAAACAATGCTATTCAAAATGGTTACAACATGTCAGCATTGCCTCCTTTTCAACTTTTTATAGTCTTAAATTTTTTTAAATGTTAAGAAGTGTAATTTATGTTTTTCATTAATTTTAGAAATGGTATATCTATTTTGGCTAGGATGTCTTAAAAATCTTAATGCAGTATCAACATACCAAGCAAATAATTTTCCAGTTTAACAATCAAGGACATTGACAGTATTATTTGCCATCAAATATCGCTCCAAATCATGACAAAATCTGGGAAACAATGAAAAGTAGTGAAAATAATACAGATTGAATGATATAAGTTTTTTAAGTAGACCTTTATTGGTCAACAAGACATAAATGTGGCTGTGTAACATTGACATACTCATATTAACACATCATTGATGGAAAATCTTTTTTATGTCAAAAGTCATTTCCCTTTATCAGCCTCAATTTGAAAGCCCTTTGAACAATATTAGGGCAATCTTAATTACTTTAAATACCTCCTTTAACACTGAAGAGGAAAGTCAAAGTTAACAAAATAGTCTTAACTTTACAGTGAAGCTTTGCTCAAACCCAAAGAAGAAGCTGTCAGATCACCAGGTTGTCAGGAGGAACAAGTGTGTCCTGTCTACCCTGCCCCGCCCCCTCCCTCTCAGCTGTGAAGGGCAGCACCTTCACTCCCTCGGAGGACGATATCTGTATGATGATGAGAAAGATCTTGAAGAAAATCTAGCTGTATTCAAACAAGGCAAGCTTAAGGTGCTTCTCATAGAAGGAGTTGTGTTTAGGTAAGTTTTTCTAACGACAACATCTCAATTTTTAGCTCGCCTCGTCCGAAGGTATGTATAATCTGGCATTCTGATACAGATTAGTTAACTCATTGTACATGTTAATACATATATGTTTACTCTGTTGTTCTGACAGGTTGGTGAGGCTGGCAACCACTAAGGTGGTGGAGATATTCCCGGGGGACAGTAGTGTTATCACATCACAGGGGTTGTCTGGTCACTTCTACAAACACACCATCCCTCACGGACATGACAAGGTACTGTTACACGACACACTGGTTTATCACAATACTTATTGTGTAAAGCATAGCAATGTGATTTTCTAAAAGAGAATATTTTGTTCGCCCTATTTAGTCTCTATGAGTGCCGTAGAAATTCAGATGTAATTGTCAAGAATCTGGGAATGCGTTATCACATTTCTTTCTATTAACTGTAAACAATCTGATGTTTTACTTTTTCCTTCAGAGTAAATAAATCTAACATTCTGATTTCTCAAACAGTCTTATGTTTTCCTGTTCTCTGAAAAATTCCATTCAAACTAACATGTGGCTATTTACAGGTAGAAGAAAGAACCTATTCCCTGAAATCGGCTCCACCCACTCCTCCGAAGGCAGCTTACTCTATACAGAAACTTATCAAGAGGGCGCACAGGTAACTATGGCGACCTGTCATTGCTATCATGTAATCCATGATCATAGCTAGTCACTGATACAAGAGGTTACCCAAGATGGTTTGCCACCTTGCTGTTGTCAGATGTTGTGCATTTCAATAAACCATTACAAAACACAAGATAGTGGCAAATTGATGACAATAATGAGTACAACATACTCAATATTGACAGTTGAGATCCAAGCCTTCCCTGTCTTATCTTTCCTTGTATTTCTGTTCCTGTTCTTTTGACCTTTTCACATTTCCTTTGGCACCACCTCACGTTTGGCTAATTTGCAGAACAGTTGTTCACATGAAGAAGGTAATGGGTTCTGTCCCCAGTTTGGGTCATGTCCAGCTTTTTGAAATTCCATGCTAAACATTCATTTGGGGAAAACACAATGACTAGTTTACCTGTTGTCAGTTTAATGTATCAAATATGGCTGTCAGACAATAGAAGGGGAAATGGGACAATTTTGATAATGATGATATGAGTACTGATAGGGTTAAGATATGTAGTGAAGAAAGGGTGAAATAATATATATGGGTAAATGCCTCCTGGCCCCTATAATATATTAACTGGACTAACCCTTTTCTTTGTGTTTACGTATGTTGACCTTGACAAATTGATGTTTTTTATGGACAGATTTCTACTGCAAGCTGGCCAGGAAGATCAGATGATCACTAATGCTGATGTGTGTTGCTGGAAGGTAAACACTTGTAAACTTTGTGGACTGAAGATTAGTACCGTTTAAGTCAAACTTCCTAATTTATTAAATAATTGTGCAGCAAAACGTTTTGAATCCAGGAAAAAAAGTAGTTATCTGGATGTGTGAGTATTATTTCACTGTGCATAACTTTGATATTTTTGCCATTATGCTCATCTTAACAGAAAATGTTTGTGTGAACTTTCTGTTTTTAATTGATAGGTCGCTGTACAAATTCTATTATAAGTAGTAGTATTGTTGTCGGGTTAAAACTAAGCTGTAAATAGAGATTTGCAACCACTGAGAGTTGAATTATAACGTAATGCTCACGGTGCTGTTAACTTTTAAAGTATGTGGAGAAGAAACTGGAGCTCGTCCCCACCACTGTACTGGAGGACTGTTGTGTCCCCGGCCACGGAAAATTCTCCGCCTACTCCAACGGACATGTCCGCATCCTATTTGACGACCGTACATCTTTAGAGATGACATGTGACTTCAGCCGGAGAGTGAAGAATTGTCTGGAGCACACAGAAGGCACTATAGATGATACTCGGGTCAGTGAATGGTAGTGTGGGTTATAATCCTCAGTCACATCTGTATCCTTATCAAACGGAACCCCATTCATGACAGTTTTATGCTGATCAGTAAAAATTCAGAACTTTTATGCTTGTAGTATCAGAGGAGAAAATTGCTATTGAGAGTGTTTTTGTGAGAGAGGAGTTGCAAACGTTTATAACAACAGTCATCCAAATTATTGATACACATTTTCACAAAATAATTAATTTGACTTGCATTAAATCATGAATACTCAACTGCATTTTGTGCATTTCAATGACAACTTGTTACCACGGAAATAATCAGCTTCACAGTGATGAAATTTAAGGCCCTGGAATAAATTACCTATACAATATGTTGGTAATGTTTAATTGTATCAGTTTTTACTGAGCTATAGGATACAAATGTAATATGTTTTATGACCATTGAGTTAATCCGTTTATATACAGAACATCAGTTTTAAACTTGATTGCTATAGGATCCTCCAGCTATAATCAGTTTATATACAGAACATCAGTTTTAACCTTTATTGCTATAGGATCCTCCAGCTATAATCCGTTTATATACAGAACATCAGTTTTAACCTTGATTGCTATAGGATCCTCCAGCTATACAGCTCACGGGTAATTGTTGTGATTAATGTACCTTGTACCCGTTACATTATAGACTGAGACAGATGAGAATCAGAGCATTTTAGTGACAAAACAGCACTTGACCGCCAGACAGACCGGCCTGTGTAAACTCCTACTGCCCAACGGTCAGTACCAGATAGTAGAAGTCAACCACCCTGGTGTCTTCAAGAAGTAAGTGGAAAGAAGTTTATTTTTTTACCTTAGTAACATTTCAAATATTATGACCAGAGTTGTTGTTTATGAAATAACTGGGGGGAGGGGGCGTCTTGACCCAGTGGTTAAGGCATCTTACCCTCTCAATCTCTATAACCCTCCACCACTGGGTCACAGGTTCAAGGCCTACGTGGGGCAGTCGCCAGGTTTTTCTCCAGGAACTCTGGCTTTCCTCCACCACCAAAGCCAGGCACGACCCATCCTCGATATCCAAGAGTTACGAATACGCTCACTTTCGCTCTCTGCAACCCTGGAATATGTGATGGCAAAATTGAAGGTACAAAGATAGCTGTTTGATTGGTCTCAGGTGAAAAAATACTTGACCAATTGCTAGGCTGATACCTGTCCTTTGAAGATTACAAAGGAGAGACGCCCACCTTCAAACCCTGTCAATTTTTACCGTTACATGACTGCGAGATTCTTTTGATGTATATCAAAGGATTGAACTAGTCATCTTGTCTCATCAACAAGATGGCACACACCGAGCCTATGACATATTCCAGGGGTGCAGAGAGCGAAAGTGAGCGTTACCACTGTAAAACTGAAACAATCAAAGAAATAACTGATTTATTCATGGTAATGATTTTACAGAATAATTAACATTAACTCCCAGGTAATGTATTAAATGTTGAAAAGATCTTCAAATTCAGTTATCTTTATTTTGATTTAATCCTTACTATCATAAGTCAGGAATATGTATCAACCCAAATTAAATCTTTCCTAAGGTACACCGATGCTGCCACCGAATGGGAGGCTTGGGTGAACAGTTCCCCAGGACAGAGAAAAGACTTCTACGAGCGCTGGGATAAGCAGGACTCCCACCAAGTGTAAGAGCTTCTTGTGATTTTTTTATATACCAAATGTTACAAAATATATATTCTACATAAGCTAATGGTCTACCAACAGATAGGTCAGTGGGTGTGTAAATGTGATATTACCAGTAAGAAAAAATTGACATAAAATGTATCTCTTGGGGAAAGCAGAGTTATGGCCCTTTGCTCATTTTTGTTACGTTGAGGTAACGAAAGTTTGTCCATGTGTACCGGGACTATGGATTGGGAGGTTCAGGATACGTCTTTCTCTTTATTTGGTATGTTAAAATGAACAGTATGTTTAAGGTCATGTGCATCTGTCAACAGTTTTCTTCTTCAGATCTCTTTTCGGTTCATTCCTATTTTTTACAGCTTGATATAACTTGTCCTTTCTACAAAAATAAGATTTTTTGATTCCTAAGATTATTGCAGTAATTACCTTTTTTCCTGATAAGTAAGATAAGCAGGTCAATGAAAATTCTGATGGTTTAAACAATATTTTATTTCATTTGTCATTTATAACAAGTACACGGGTAAATAATAATAGGAGTTGGTCTTATATAAAGTCATCTGAGAGTTCTGTTGGCTTAGTAAAAAGTTTCCGCTTGGTATAACTGTTATAGATAATGAACTGGCAGCCTGTACCATGTGATAAATTAACCTTACTACTGTAGTGTAACTTATTATTTTCAGGCTGGCAGCAAAGGAATTACAAAAGATCAAGTGTTTTAATTGTATCCTTTCTCGCCAATAACAGTAACTGGTAAATAGACATCCCTATTGTGTAGGATGTACCACAGTAACTGGTAATAGACATCCCTATTGTGTAGAATGTACTACAGTAACTGGTAAATAGACATCCCTATTGTGTAGGATGTACTACAGTAACTGGTAAATAGACATCCCTATTGTGTAGGATGTACTAACTTTATCACATACCTGTTGAATCTTGTTATAGTAATACAAGCAATTTTCAGACCATGAAATACAACTTTCTGTATTGCACATGTGCAATACGGAATGTTGTATTTACCTACTAGCCGGAACTACTTTTTATGGGAATCCCCTTGTCATGGCGAACTGAAAAGTTCCCAGTATTTACAAAAAGTATCAAAGTTTATAAAATCTTTGTATCGATCTCTACCAAATATGGAAGGTACCAGGTATGTGATAAAAGCAAGATCACACACTTGTGTTTTTCTAACGAATCAGAAAGCCCTCATTTATTGCGCCCCACAATTAACTCGTGCTTTTTGATTCGTTAGAGAAACACCAGTGTGTGGTCTTACATATATATTCTTGTCATACTTGAGGATCAATACAAAGAAGTCCACTTTGTGTTTCATTCTATCCCACATCCATCCTTCTTCCTGCAGACTCCAGAACCAGACAGACACCAGAAAACATTCAGACTCGCCCTTATACCCACAAACCAGTACTACACAATGGAATCGTCTAACAGTACAATAAACATCTCAAACAACTCTGTGCCAACCAAATGACATTGAGGAAAGTCAGTCATAAACAAATCCTGATGTTGACTCACACCATCATTCAGTCATGCTTTGTGTTTGATTTCAAATGTCCTACATTTTATTAAGACCTTCATTAGAGATTATATAATTACTTGTACATGTACTGATACATGTAGTTAGAAGAAATTACCTGCTTATAGAGGAATGAATCGTTCATATACTTGATACTTTTTAATACAGACAAGTCCTATTCCTTTTATCATATTTACACTTTAACAGAAATTGTTCAGATATTGTTGACAATACCGTGAGTAACCAGGCGTCACTTCCATCACACGATGTGGCTGTTATGACATCCAAGCCGTCAACAAGCCATCAAGGCGTGGGCTTAGTGCAATATTCTAACAGAACTCAGTTTTCAAACTCTTCCATCCCTCATTCAAGATATGTGAACAGATCTGATAATGTGACAAACAAATGGCTTTCTGATGAGGGTTCTCAAGGTCAGGGACATTACAGTCAAGATCAGCATGGCTACGGGGCTTATAAAAAAGGCTACAATATTTCAGAATCCAGTGTTGGACACTTGAGCAGTGAAGGGCACTCTGGGAATTTTCTTCGCAGTCAAAGTCATCTTGGTTACAGTATCCCTCCAGAAAAGGTCATGACCTCTGCAATACCTGGATCATATCAGGGGTCAGGAGGTCAGATAGGGAACATTAGTCACACTGCCTCCAGGACCAGCATGGACACTCTACAAGGCTTCAATGCTGTCCGCGAGGCTCTCCTTAAAACATCAAAGGCCATACAGGACATCGACTGTATTCTCGATAAAAAATCGTAATCCATGTTAACATTGATAGGTTGTGACATCGACTGTATTCTGGATAAAACATCGTGATCAATGTTAACATTGATAGGTTGTGACATCGACTGTATTCTGGATAAAACATCGTGATCAATGTTAACATTGATAGGTTGTGACATCGACTGTATTCTGGATAAAACATCGTGATCAATGTTAACATTGATAGGTTGTGACATCGACTGTATTCTGGATAAAACATCGTGATCAATGTTAACATTGATAGGTTGTGACATCGACTGTATTCTGGATAAAACATCGTGATCAATGTTAACATTGATAGGTTGTGACATCGACTGTATTCTGGATAAAACATCGTGATCAATGTTAACATTGATAGGTTGTGACATCGACTGTATTCTGGATAAAACATCGTGATCAATGTTAACATTGATAGGTTGTGACATCGACTGTATTCTGGATAAAACATCGTGATCAATGTTAACATTGATAGGTTGTGACATCGACTGTATTCTGGATAAAACATCGTGATCAATGTTAACATTGATAGGTTGTGACATCGACTGTATTCTGGATAAAACATCGTGATCAATGTTAACATTGATAGGTTGTGACATCGACTGTATTCTGGATAAAACATCGTGATCAATGTTAACATTGATAGGTTGTGACATCGACTGTATTCTGGATAAAACATCGTGATCAATGTTAACATTGATAGGTTGTGACATCGACTGTATTCTGGATAAAACATCGTGATCCATGTTAACATTGATAGGTTGTGGCAAAAAATAACACTTCAAATGACAGTTATAGACAGGTGTCCTTATAAACAGGTGGAGGACAGTTATAGACAGGTGTCCTTATAAACAGGTGGAGGGCAGTTATAGACAGGTGTCCTTATAAACAGGTGGAGGGCAGTTATAGACAGGTGTCCTTATAAACAGGTGGAGGACAGTTATAGACAGGTGTCCTTATAAACAGGTTGATCACTGATTACTTACCAGATAATTATATAAACTGAAAAAAGTGACATTATGAAACAACAAAGTGCTGTTGCCTTAAATTTTTGAAGTTGAAACAAATGACATTGCAAAATCTTAAAATAACCTTGCTGTCTTTTCCCCTCCCTCTCGCTAATTTTGTTAATTAATATATACCGGTAATCCATCGAAGTTTTATTTAAATATTTTTCTGTTTTATTTATTCAACACTAGATCTACTCTTTTATCTGATTTTCATTATAAGAGTTAATGGTGTTGCTCGTACTGAAATGTTGGGTGTTATGTACTATATAGATTTTGTTCTAAGTTGTAAGTACTTTGTAAAACTACAGCAAATACTACATTTATGTTTCCTCAGTATTATTGTTTGTTTTGTGATTCTTTATTTTTTGTGACTTTGTGGTGTGTGTTATCGGAGATTCTATTTGTTATTATTTATTTTCCTTCCTGTAAGTTATTTAATTAAAATTTGCGGTGTATCTGTCTTTCTATCTGGATGTATTGTTTCAAAGACATGCCTCCCAGGCCTCTTAAATGTTTACTGTAAGTGAAAAATACAGGTTTATGAATGGAAAAGTTTAAATGAACTTGGGATGATTCCTAGTTCAAGGTCATGGCCATATGGTTAGAGGTCATTAAAGGTTGATTATTTGAATTTACCCACTCAAGCAATATGGATATTTGGTCTCGTTACTGAAGTGTGTCGCATATACCACTGTCATAGCTTTAAGTCACGAATCATTCTTATAAGTCAAGGCCATGGTTCAAGTTCAAACATTGAAAATTTATATTTACTCGCTCAGGCAAACATTTGGTCTAATTGCTGGTCAAATGTTACTTAGATCCTTATATCCTCAAGTGAGGCTCTTGTCATATCATTTTTATGAAACAAGGCAAAGAGGAGGTAGCCGACATAACCCTCAGGTATCTGGTACCCCCCCCCCCCCTGTTACAGTCATGAATTAAGTACAGAGCTTCCTGACGATTTTTTAGCTATATTTTATTAATGGTAATAATATGCATTAAAGTTATTGCTCCAGTATTTAAGATGTTAAGCACCACCAAAGGAGATAACATTAAAGTTATTGCTCCAGTATTTAAGATGTTAAGCACCACCAAAGGAGATACCACTTCAGTTAACAACATTACCTAACATGCTGTTTATGCAGTCACTACAATATAAAGTATATAGTTATACCTCAAACAAGTTTTATTTTAGAGGTATTTATCTAAGACTATTGTTGTGACATCTAGCCTCAGACTGGCATATTTATACAGTTTAGCTGTGTATCATAAATGCTGGTGACCCTAACAGAGATAAAAAGCATGTGGCGATATTGCAATTGTTTTAAATCTTCCTACTTGTAAAGTTCCGAGACTTCATTTTCACTCCGTCCTTTTCATTGTCAACCTTCTTTGGTGTACAAAACATATATAACAATATTTTTTACTAAATTAATTACAAATAATATATTAAAATATCTAATGAAATACAAAACTGTGTTGTTTATTATTTTTGTCTATGATGCAAATCTCCAAAAGTAGTTGGAACTCAAAGCAGCAACTTTAATTTCAAAAGTACCAAAAATAGTTTGAAACTACCCACATACCTTGTACTAAGATAGAAGATCTCATAAAAATGGAACAGGAAAACAAGAGGCCCAGAGGGCCTGTATCGCTCACCTGAATGTAGCAGTAAAATGTTCTTATTCAGTATTATTCTGTGCTACAAAAATTTCACTCACAAACTTTGCAAGCTCCATCTGTTGAAACTACCAGCCAAATATTATCATATGATTCTATGCTTTTTGGTTCTTCTTCAGAAGATGTTTGAAGTGTTTGACATATTTGACCCCTGTGACCTTATAAGGGATCAAGGTTATTTTCATCTTAAACTTTTTCGTGTTTTATCCCAGGAAACAACCGAATTATTTTCTACCCACACCCCGTTTCATTTATACTTAGAATGCTGTTATCATTTATGTTTTGTTTCATCTGTATTAATTGTCTTGAAAGCACCGCAAGATATGTTTTTCTTATTTCTAAAACCTATATGTCAGAAAAATGTTTAACGTTAAGTTTTCTATCCCAGGAAACCACCAGCCAAATATTATAAATATATGCTCTAAGATTATTCAGAAGAAATTGTTTTATTTTTTGACATATTTGACCCCTGTGACCTTGCAAGTAGGTCAAGGTCATTTTCTTGTTTAAATTTTGTCTGGCTCTATCCCAGGAAGCCACCAGCCAAATATGAAGATTTTATACCTTTCAGTTCTTCAGAAGAAGTCGTTTTAAGTGATTTACACATTTGACCCCTGTGACTTTGAAAGTAGGTCAAGGTCATTTTATTTCATTCTTAAATTTTTTCGCGCTCTATCCCAGGAAACCACCCGCCAAATATGAAGATTCTATACCTTTAAGTTCAGTTTCAGTTCAGAAGAAGTCGTTTGAAGTATTTGACCCCTGACCTTGAAAGTAGGTCAACGTCATTTTCATTTTCAATCTGTGTCAGGCTTTTACCAACGAAGCTTTCAGCTAAATAGCATGACTCTAGGCCTGTCTGTTCTTCATCAAAAGTTGTTGAAAGGAAAAGTTCACGGACGATGGACACTGGGCCACGACATGAAAATGCTCCAAATCAAGTTTTCCTTCCTTAAAGGTCAGAGGTCAAATTGTAGATTGCAGATATCTATTTTGGACTTGCGACAATTCATCTTCCTTGGATGTACTAATGTTTTAACCTGATGATCTGAAATTGTACAAGGCCGTTTTTGTTCAAGGCGATCAAAACGGTTGAACAGAAGTTGTTCGTTTAAGAAATAAGGCCAGACCTTGTAATTTGATGCTGCTTTCAAACAAGCCTTGATAAAGCCTTGCAAGGCCTGTAAACACATTTGCAGGTCCCCAGGATTTATACCCGAATATGTTATGTTTAGAAAGGAAACAAGAGGACCAATGGGCCTGCATCGCTATCCTGGTATTAATCTCACCTTTGTAACCTTAAAAGTGATCTGGTAAAATGTCAGTATTTATGACCATAAGTCATTCAAAAGTCATTTAAGGATTTAAAATACTTGACCCCTGTGACCTTGAAAGTGGAACAAGTCATTACATTGAAAAAAACTGTATAGCCCTTCATCTCAGCATGCAACTTGCAAAATATCACAACCCTAAACCTTTTGTTTATTGAGATTAGGTCATTTAAATGTATATACTTATTTGACTAAATGTGACCTTGAAAAGCTTAATAGCCCTTCATCCAAGCAAGCTACTAACCAAATATCAACATTCTAGGCCTTATGCTTATTCAGAAGTCCTTTATGTTGTAGACATATTTGACCCCTGTGACCTTGAATATGAGTGAAGGTCATTCATATAAACAAACTTTGTAGCCCTTCATCCTAGCATGCTACTGGCCAGATATCACTATCCTGGGCCTTTTGGTTATTCAGAAAAAGTCGTTTCAAGATTTAATCATATTTGACCCCTGTGACCTTGGATATTTATAAAGGTCATTTATATGAAAAAAACGAAATAGCCCTTCATCCAAGCATACCACTAGCCAGATATCATCCGAGGTCTTGGTTATACAAAAGAAATTGTTTAAAGATTTATACATATTTGACTTTGAATACAGGTCAAGGTCATTCATTTGAACAAACTTGGTAGCCCTTCATCTGAGCATGCTACCGGTCAAATATCAACATTCTGGTCATGTTGGTTATTCAGAAGAAGTTGTTTAAAGTTTTTTGAAAAGCGCAGGTGATCTTTTCTGATCCATCTTGTGCATCATCTGTAAACTTTACATTTTCGACTTCTTCTCAAAAACCAGCGGATTGAATTTATTCAAACTTGGTCAGACTCATCCTTGGTAGATGAGGCTACAAAATTGTAAAATTGAGATACATATGTACCTACCCCAACCCAAAGGGTCAGGGCGGGCCCCAAAGGGAAAATTAACTAATATTTCAAAAGTCGTTTTCGTTTTCGCAATATCAGTACCCTGGGCCTTTTGGTTATTGAAAAGAAGTTGTTTGAAGATTTTAACACATTTGACCTCTGTGACCTTTAAAGTGGGTCAAGGTCATTTATTTGAACAAACTTGGTAGCCCTTCATCCCCGCATGTTACTGGCCAAATATCATTATCCTAGGCTCCTTGGTTATTCAGAAGTTGTTTAAAGGTTTTAAACATATTTGACCCCTGTGACCTTGAATATATGTCAAGGTCATTCATTTTAACAAACTTGGTAGCCCTCTATTACAGCATGCTACTGGTCAAATAGCATTATCCTAGGCCTCTCAGTTATTCAGAAGAAGTTGTTTAAAGATTTTTTAAGACAATTGAACCCTGTGACCTTGAAAATGGATGAAGGTCATTCATTTGAACAAACTTGGTAGCCCTTCATCCCAGCAGGCTACTGGCCAAATATCATCACCCTGGGCATTTTTGTAATTAAGAAGTAATTAAAGTTTTTAAACATATTTGACCCCTGTGACCTTGAAAATAGGTGAAGGTCATTTATTTGAATAAACTTGGAAGGGCATGTCCCCAAAGGAAAAGTTGACCAATTTTTCAAAATTCCTCTTCACCAGACTCGGAGATACTACAGTCAATGTATCTGCATGTATGAAAAGATCATCGGGGGCTTTGTTTAAATTGTAAATTTCAGTACCCCAGGGGCTGGAAGGGTGGGGCCCAAATGGGGATTATGGTTAAAAGTTAAAATTCTGCTCTGCCTTGGGAAGAGGGCATAATTCTTAATAGCAAAATAATGTATTTGAATAGTTTTTAAAGTTCTTATCCTTTGGTGACATGACAAGACATCTCAACCATGAAATTGAGCTACTAGTACCTGTGATTTATCCCAGGTGACTCCCAAGACCCTTGGGCCTCTTATTAAGACAATTGACCCCCTGTGACCTTGAATTTGAGTGAAGATAATTCCTTTGAACAAACTTGGTAACCCTTTATCCCAGCATGCTATTGGCAAAATATCATCACCTTGGGCATTTTGGTTATTCAGAAGTCGTTTAAAAGTTTTTAAGATATTTGACCCATGTGACCTTAAATATGAGTTAAGGTAATTTATTTGAACAAACTTGGTAGCCCTTCATCACAGTTTGTTTCTGGCATAACATCATCACCCTAGGCCTTGTGGTTATTAAGAAGAAGTTGTTTAAAGTAAAATATTGACAACGGCCGGACGATGGACGTTGCACGCCACAGCATAAGCTCACTTGGCTCTTCGGACCAGGTAAGCTAAAAACGGTTGTTCCATTTAAAGGAACAGGCCCCAGGAGAAATGCTCCATAAACTGTTTTCTCTTGATTGAGTTAGGAGGTTAAACTATAGGTAACACTGTGACCCAAGCCCATTTGTTAAATCAAAATTTCAAAATGCCATTTTTGAAATATCTCAAATGAATGCTTTCTGAAGGTAATCAGTTTTAATCTCTATACAAAAATATCCATTTATTTTATCATACAAGATAATAATTATTTTATTAATTGGTATCGGGCTTTGAACAACCAGGCCATTGTTTTGGTTTCAAAATCTGCTTTCCTTACATGAATCTTACCAAATTGATGATCCTACATGAATTAGTTATGAAATGCTATTTTGAAAGCATTCAGATGCACAAGGCACATCATGACAACCCCATCCCCCAATTATTGTGGATCATTTAGCAATATTTATATCAAGTCATTTAAAACCTGATAATTTGTACAGCTCATGCTTGTAACAAGAGGCCTAATATGCCTGTATGGTTCACCTAGAATTCAGTGCTGTTCGAAAATAACCTTTCATGTGTGACCTTCAAAGTAGGTCAAATCCTGACATGCTTGTGCTATATATAGAGAATGATTAATGGTTTCCCATTGAATGTCATGCTTTTCATTAGTATGGCAGAAAACCAATATTTTTCACAAGTGTAGTCAAACAAAAACAACAAGTTAATCAGTTAATGATACATTAAATTCAAAGATTTACTTTATACAGGAACAATGTACGTATTAGCTTGACAAACGGACTAGTTGGTCTTGACATGTTGCGACACGTTTAATATGTACATTGTTTGTGTATACAGTATAACTTTGATATAACATATTGCAAAACTGATGAATCTGATAAAGATAATGCATGTGGTACATTAAATTCTAAATGAGTAATTCTACCACTAACATTAAAGGACCGGCTTCTGATAAAAAGGGACAAAACAAATGATAAGTCCAACAAATTTGTTATCCCGTCCTTTTTAATGTCCTTTGTTGATTGCTTGTAAGATAATCAAATGGCCGTACCAATGATTTTTACTGCTTGATGAGCAACAAAATATTGTGAGATACATAAATCATATAAAAAGATACACGTGGGCTACAAGTTACAGGCATACAAGTTAATGTGGGTACAGAACTTATCAGGTTAACATTCAACAGCTGGATTCTAGACAACATGTTTTTTAAAGTTACAACATATTTTCTTTTCGTTGATTTTTACATTTATCCATTTGCAGTATTTTTCATAGACGCAACGTTAGCTATACTTGCACTGTTTGTTTCTAATACTAAAAGAACTACGTATATACAGTACCAGTAATCCTGTCAACAACCAGATTTCAATGTATGGTACAATTTTCTTACCAGTGATCTATAGAATCCTCTCATACCAGGCTTTTTTAGTGTCATGACAAAAAAGTTAATTCCAAATTTAATTCAAAACAAAAACCTGCAAGAATATGAATATTTTTGTGTATGTTATCTGACCAGTTTGGATCCCAGACATGCATGCATGGGTACATGTGTTCAAAGTTTGAAATTTTAACTTCAACTAGTCATTAAGTCTAGATCTTATGAATGTTGATATGAGTCTTGATTTAAGGATATAACTGTAGCTCAATTGGGTTGGGACACTTTCATTGATCAGGTAGCTCGGTCAGTTACAGCGATAATACAACAATCTGAATTAAGTCCAGGGTTCCAATCACAGTTTATAGCCCTACTGAATTTTTTACACTCTGAACATTGTTGTAGATTATATGTTGTTTATTTAATTTATATTATCTTTCCGTAAAAGTCCATTCTTTTCAGAAAAGAATTATCAAAGCTATAGTCCAGACAGAAAAGAGTTCTCAAACATTTTAATACAGTTTCAGGCCTTGGTACACAGATCCCGAAACTGTAGGAGGTAAACTTCCATCATAAGATCATTAACAGTTTTACATAACCAATCATTTCAATCCCAGATCTGGGATCATCATATCCCAGTAGTCATGGAGAAAACGAAACATAAATTCTCTGGCTATCTATATTTTGAAAAACTATATAACTAATAACACGTCGAAAAACTTTTCGATAATTATGAAAGTTATGAAATTACTTGAAAACATGTCTAACATGTACATCTATTACAGCATCATAAAATGGTAAAAGTACTCAAACTATAAGTTATGTAATAATTACATGTCACCTTTACATTTTGAATGGATTAGTTAAAATTACACCGGTACCTACACTATGTAATCATCTTTTGGTAACAAATCAATATTGTATAAAATCACCTGACCCTCAACAGGGTTCTAGTGGGGGAAACTAAGGGCAGAGAACCCAATTAGACAAATTATGGACTCAAATTACATTTCGTGTATTACAGTATAAAGACAATTAATGAAATCATATATTCCAGCATTGTAATAAAGGTCAGTTCAAACTTATCACAAAACAACAGGATTAATAGTTTTGTAGCTCTGCCAAAATGTGGTTTATATATGCTCAACATGACAACAAGATATTTTCATGGTTTCTGCCACAGGTTATGAATTACAGCTTAACACCAAGCAAGATATTGTTTTGAGAAGAATTTACTATTCATGATACTATAACCTGTCAACATTCAACCAGCTATTTAATATTGAAAATCAACCTCCTGTCTGAAAACTCTCCAAGAAAACTGCCTTTGAACATTAAGAATGTTAGTTCTATTACTAGAAAGTACAGGTACATATATTTTAGATCAATATGTTGCCAATACGCTGCTCATGGTCTTAAAGCTAGTGAAACTTGCCCTGGTGATCAAAAATATTTTAGCAAGCACTTGCAAGAAAGAAAATAATGAAAATATTTTATAGAAAATCTTATACATATATAGGTATAATTTATGCTTTACATAAAATGTATGCTTTACATGAAACTATGAATCATATTATCACATAGAAAACAGACAAATCAACTTGTAGTTCAGTGCAGGATATTTTACTTATTTAAGTGGATAAAATGTTTTCATAACAACTGTAGTTAATAACAACTTGTGTAAACTTACACCAAGAGGTACATTATACATCAGATCCAAGTCTTTGCCAACAATGAGTGATTTTCCCTGTACTGGAATGATAAGTATATATGAAGTAATATAAACCCAGTCTGTATGTACAGTAAGTGTACTCATTGATTTCAGATGTAGGTTTATTCCGAGTTGTCTGAAAGTGACTGGTTAGTTTTTCTTTGTGAAACAGCTGTATGTAATTTAACAAAATTGGATTGTGTAGATAAAAGTGATAATTATATAACAAATAAGGAAATATACATATGAAATGTTGAAATATTAGTCCTCCAAATCTACGATAAAATAGGTTTTTATGATATTAATTTTCTATTTGTTTATTCCATCTTTTCGTATTGCAGAGTTATCTGCTCTTGTGAGCAGGTATTGATTGTTACGTCATTTGTTTGTGAGAGTAACGAACGTCATAAGTTTTTGAGAAAACGACATAATTTTCTCACACAAACTTATGACGTAACAATCAAATACCTGCTCACAAGAGCAGATAACTCTGCAATACGAAAAGACGGAATAGTAATAATTACAAGTTAAGTCTAAAATCCAATGAATACCTAGTATACAAGCATTTTTCCTATGTCAGAAGACACACTACTCACCTAAGTGGTGCCAACACAATGTGATATTGAGATTGACTACCATCTGTCACTAAGTCTGCAGACAAACTGTTATTTCAGTATACAACCCTCAATATAATAAATACAAATAAAACAATCGTGAGAATACACAATATATACGTTATGGGTTTTACGTAAGTAAATACCGGAACAAATCTTTTCTTTGCAAACAATCACGTGTAAGTATAATATGTATACCATCATGATCAACAAATAAGCATGTACCATTTCACAAGTAGGATAGCAAAGTCACACATTTACAAGGAGCAAAATATACATACATGCTGAAGTAGCCATCTAGCTAAAAATCATTTCACAATATCTATCCAAAGAATTTATTTATCAAACTGCTAAATAAATCATCACAACAAAAATAAAATTTCAAGATATCTTTTCAGTAGCTGTTATATCTCATTGTAACATCTAGCTCTTATTGATAATGGTGTTGAAACATGTTCAACGAGATATCAGTGTACTAGTAATATTTAAGTTCTGGTAAATATTTGTGAACAAATAAATTTATTTAACATGTACCAAACATATATTATGTGCTATGATTAATATATCGACACCTTCTCATTTTGCTGTGTAAAATAACATTTTCATCAATTAAAAACGAAATTCAAACACTTGAAACAAAATATAGAACCTATTTAACTGTTACACAACATGCCAGAAAAAACCACCCCAATCAGACTTGACCACTTAGAGTGTGATACATATTGACCACCACACTCTATAAGAATCCCATTTATGATAACTCCTACTTTGACTGGTCAGTTTTTCTGCCACTTGTCTCCTCATCCTTACGGTCAAACTAAGCTGAACATATAAATACATAAATATGCAATAAATGTTCAAATCTGGAAACAGAAAAAAATCCCTACATAATGTTTAACTTTTCTACCAAACACTAAACGGACTACAGGCTGCAGTTGTAAGCAAATCAAGGAAATTGTGACATTAGCTTAATTAACAGGAATTTATACAACTAATCACGGCACCAAAGGCTGAATGGAGGCTAGCACATATATAGGAGTACATGTAATCTATAACATCACATGTGTCATTCAATTTATCCCCCATTTCTACCATAATGATAGAGACATGTGGATTTCTCTTGATGTATTATATAGTAAGTAAAATACTGTGAACTATCTATTTTTACAAGAATTCATTTGAAGGTGTCACGAATCATTACCAGGCTAGAATGTTAATACTTAAATTTTATTCATATAGGCAGTGACTTTTTTCTTAATGTTTGATCAATTTTGATAAAAGGACAAAAACTGACATTGCACAACTTTGAAACATATCAAATTTAAAGGGTTAATTTTCTCAATTTGCAACTTAAAAGAAATAGTTACAATTGTTTTGTATCAATTTAAATAAAAACTGACATTGTACAACATTAAAAACTATCAAGTTAATTTTTTTTAAATATGCAACTAATTAATACCAGTTATTCTGATTATATTGTATCAATTTGAATTAACCTCAAGTTCATAAACAGATGATCTGCTTCCATCAAAACGCTAAGATGAACTAGAACATAATTAACATCTATACAATGTATTTAGACCAACAGGTAACGTAGCTATAGTTTCATTACATGTCAGGTATGCGTACCAAGGTGTATCTAGGTATTTAAGTAACACATATATCACTATATACTAAGCAGCAGCACTATAAATCTGAAAATATCACTACTGATCACAAGGGAAAATAGCACTAAATCTATAAATCACAAGTAGATAGTCTGTATTAAATTAGTACAGATGTTTAATCTAATAGTGTAATTTAACTATAATTGGTCAAATCAGATCATAAGTAATCCAATGCTGTTGTAACAGTTTAAAACACTAATAGCCTTTAGATAGCTATAGTCTGTTAATGTTGTTTCTGATCATCTAATGACATCAACACAATAGTACTAGATTTATAAAAAATATCTTTCCAGTAAACGACTGATTTGACTGCTCTGTGGGACAGGGTATAAATTGTACAGTACTTATGTTATATTGATTGTCAACTTTTCATTCAATACAGTTCTGATCCCCAAAAAATGCCTGCTAAAATCCATACTAAATACACAATAATATTCAATTGTTGTGATAAATGTCGTAACATTTTCTCAGAACTGTATATGTTTGGGGTTTTTTCAAATTCAAAGTGCCGTAGAAATACAAATGTGTTATTTAGAAATTGTTCTGCTTAAATATCGTATATTATTATAGGGGAAATGATCAAATCATAGAGTAAATCAAATAATCAACAACTGCTTATAAAAAAAGTGTTATGACATAACAAAGATCAGGATCTAGCTTGGCCAAGCCTTACAGTCCAATCATCAAAATATTCAATTTTGTTTTTAACTCATTCACCCCTGAACTTTCATAAGAAACTATTCCAACCTTTGAATAGGAAGAGTTCAAATGTGTCTTTAGGGGTGAATGAGTCAAGTATCGCCAAAACATTTTGTTTTTTTGTTTTTCAAATGCCATGATATACATACATATTCTTTCAGCTTTGAAAATTTAATAAACATATATTGGCAACTGAAAATTTAGCTTCATTAGCTATTAAAATGTAAAATGTTAAAACATTGGTGCTGAACTTTGTTAAAGCTTTAAACTAAAATATCTAGCAGATAAACAATAATATTGACAAATTAATTCCGATTACATGATTCAAGTCTAATAAATAGGCAAGGGAGAAAACAAAAACAGAATCAATCAATTACCTCAATAATTAATACATGTTTTCCTTTAAATATTCAGTTACAGATGAAGTTCCATCCTATGTTTGGTTGGCTTGAGTGTTTTCCCTTACCAATACTTCCCTGAGTTAAAACTTCTGCTTAGGATATTGATTCACTATAGACATTGTTCACATCGACAATAAACAGGAGTAACGCTGATGTTTAAAAATCAAATTCAAATGCACACATTTCAAGAAATATTTGCCCATTTTCACATACAGGCTCATAAACAGCGTTTGTATTTATTTTTTATTTGCACATGAAATATATCTTCTGTCATGTTCACAAACAGAAAATGCTGTTTTCACCTTAATTTAAACAGTAAATGGTTCCCTCATTGTACTTACCCATACCTAAATAGTCTATTATTCAAATGCTTCATTTTTTATCTTATTTTCGTTTTTAGATTTCATCAAGTGTTATACTAATATTAATAATATGCTGGGTGCATTAAATAATTAAAATAGTTCAATTTAAAAAAAAATCATGCCAAAAAAAAACATGGCTATTCCAAACTACTTGTGAAGTCTGAGCCACTAAAAAGCAACATTTAAGACATTCCATAACTCATCAATTCAAAACAGTTCAGAAGAGATGGAAGAAATAATTCAGTGACCAGCTGGTCAAACTAGATGTAACATTATGTCTGGTTGAATTAACTTTCTTATACTGATCACAAGAAAAAACAATCTCACAAGATATTGATATAAGATATATATATTATTTATAAAACATTATTTCTTTTAATTGTTCTTACTCATTATTTTCAACTTTCAGATTATATCTTATTCTAGATTCAGCCAACTCTTCGTATATAACTGAAAAGTTTTCCTTTTTATTGGTGATACAATTTCTAAAATGTTGCTTTCCACATCAGTCCTTCAGCTCAAACATAATAAATTTGGGAACAGCTGTTACAATTGTGATAAATTCTAAAATTACCGTAAACATGACAAAAGGTTATAGTTTATTCAAATTAATTAGTGTGAAGGTGTTTCGGTCAGTAATGAGACCAAAAATTAATGTATCTGCATCAACAAAGTTCACATAAAAATTCCACACTTAATAAATCTTACAGAAATTATGCATATATATGTAAAATATTACGTACAGTGTACATGTGACTACTATTACTACTATCGGTCCTATAGATCGAAGCATGTTTCATTAACCCTTTTCCCCCTATGCAACTTTAGAAGACTCTACCATGCATTGATCTAGATAAGTCCATTATGGTCTACTGTGGTGAAAGGGTTAACATTTATACTCTACCTACCAAACCAAAAATACCATCTTAACTCATTACATACCACTGGTGACAGCACTTTCATGACATCTTTTAACTTTTTCAACAAAATTTGTTATTCAAACTTTTACTAAGAGTTGTTTCGTGTGAAATGTGAAGAAACATAAAAATATTGGGAGTAGATTTGATAAATTTCTAATAGTTAATAACTTCTTATATCTTAATTTATCTTTAACAGTCATTACCTGTTCAACCATTATTACCATGCATTATAAGAAATTACCATCCAATCGTTATGCACAAACAGATACCATACAAACATTCTTGTGATCATGACCAAACATAAACTTTGAAAGAAGAATTTAGTCAGGATTTCACATTTAACTGTTTTATCACTAACAATTTACTTTAACACCAAAATACTACATACAGGCATAACCTATTTACCAATTAGTGAGTAAGCTAGAGATCTCAAACCAAGATTAGAGTGTATGGAAAACATTATCCATCACAGCTAAGGTTTCCTCTCTCATCTTTGTGCTTATAAACTATTTGTTTCTACTTCTTTTACGATATCAAATAAACATTACATTAAAAAACAGACAAATAAACAACAAAACAAAATAAACCCAGTGGGAAAAAATAATAGAATTTGGACAAGCCTTAAACAGATTTCTTTAGACTTAAGGACCAGGAATTTACATTTTGTCTGAAACATTTTGATATATAAAGTACATACAACATAATGTATTATTTCAATATGCCATTGACTGTTAACAGCAGGTCTGAAAATGTATGTATGATATAGCCTATGACAGCTAAACAAATGATATTTTTATGGAGTTTCAGTTGAAAATCTGTACTTTGTGAAAGTCATAACTTATTTAACTTTGAAGAACTTAATGCCGACTAGCAATGTTTAGCACATGAACCCAGGCAGCTATACCAAAGCACATATTCAGAATGAAAAATTCAAATGAAAGCACTGAAACTTTCAACTTTCTACTTAAATAGCATGAGTTGTACACTTTGTAGCGACTATTGTAAGGTGATGCAGGATTCGTCATGTCGACTGGACCCCTGACATACTTTGTACAGTGATAACAGCAATACACTGTATACATGTAGATGGCCTTCACTCCTATCTAGTTCCAGTTTGAATTGTTACGCCAGAGATACATGACCTATCTACACAGCCACAATAGTAAATAGCCTTTCATTGTGGTGACCACCTCTAACACTTGTAGTACACGGTACCACAACTACAGGCCCTTTTGTTCTTATCTTTATTATATCATTGACCACCTGTCTTGTCTGAACAACATTGTAGGTAAACTGTAGAGTGCCCTACCCTATAATTCAGATATACATTGTTCCTATATGGACCACATACATTGCATCTCCAGTGGTCACTCACACATCAGACATATTGTTTTTAATGTGCGTCTTCTCCACTAGCCGTGTGACCTGCCTCCCATTTCACTTTAACACTTCCATCTGATCTTTCGGCCCAGATAGTTCTGTAATTTGCTTAATGAGATATGTTTTTTCGTCAATGAATTGTTCATCCTCCGACCGCTCTGTGTGGAACTTGGTGAGAAATTCAACTAAGCGGTCTTTGTTCCGTAACAGTATATCCAGAATAGGTTTTGGCTTGTTGGGGTTGGCTACAAACACCTGAAAGCAAGAAATACAGAAAGAAATCAGACAAGACCGAACATTGTTTCACACTGATCAGTGTAAAGCAGATAAGGAAAATATTACGGAATCTCTTGTGCCAGCTGAAACAGTTAACTCATGATCATTCAGGAACAGGCTAGACAGAAACTGAACCAGAAGGAGAGTACCTAAGGTCCTTTATCAGAATAGCTATACCTGATAAGTAACACTGATATTGTATTTTGATGATAGTGTAAATTTTACAATTGATTAGAACATTGAACTAACCAGCAATCAACTTTCCCTTCAGTTGTCTCCTCAGCCAATGACAGTATGAAGGGAGACAAATCTGTCAGCCATATTTTTAAACCAGAATAAGAAAAACTTTGATTGGCATATTTGATGTTTTCCTAAACTGATCCTAACATGCTCTTACCTTGAACACATGGAAGGCTTCAAACTGGATATTGCGACTTTTCTCTCGCAGCATGTTCATCATCAGCTTGAGGTTGTCTGGACTGCTGATGTAGCGGGTCATTGTGGTGAAGTTATGTCGGTCTAGCAGCAACTCTCCTAGAAGCTGAAATAGAACAAAGTAATCCAGGTTTCTAATATATCAAAGGGCCTGTATCGCTCACTTGGATATTTAGCCAATCATGGCAAAAGATTCTCAATGAAAGAAGTATGGCAATTAAGATCTTGGGATTAACGCCATTCCCCTTGGCCAATCCTGGAATCAGGTGTTTCTTAATCTTCTTGCTCAGCATTGAAATAGGGTCGGGATCTCAAAGATTTCCATGTTTGTTGTACTGATAAAATATACCAACGCTCACTCAGTCATTGCTTGATGAAGGGACCAGTTGGTCTTGAAATGTTGCGAAAAGTTTAATGCCTACATAATTTGAGTATAAAGTAAAACTTTGATATAACACATACAAGTTTAGAGTTTTTTATGTAAGAACATTCCACATCACTTAAAGACATCCTCGATATCCAGAGGTTATGCTCACTTTCGCTCTCTGCACCCCTGGTCAAAGAAAAAGTGAAGGCTCAGTGTGCGCCACCTTGTTGATGAGACAAGAAGACTAGTTCCATCAAAAGAATCTCGCGGTCACGTAACGGTAAAAATCGACAGGCTTTGAAGTCAGGCGTCTCTCATTTGTAATCTTCAAAGGGCAGGTATCAGACTAGCGATTGGTAAGTTTTTTTACATGAGACCAATCCAACAGCTATGTTCGTGCCTTCAATTTTGCTATGACATATTCCAGGGGTGCAGAGAGCGAAAGTGAGCGTAACCTCTGGATATGGAGGATGCTTAAAGGGTGATCTTCACAGAACTGATATTGAATGATAATAATATACAATGTATTACGTCATCAAATGTACTCACTTTTAGGGCTTGTCGCCTTGTGACGTAGTTTTCTGAGCTGAGCAACTTCTGGTAATTGACAAAGAACCTATCATAGTTGGCCTCTAGAAACTCAGCTGACACCATTTTGTGTCTAGTAAGTAATTCCTGCAATAAATACAGATTGGTTATTTCTACAGTAGTTCTTATAATGATATTGTTGGCTGTCCAGACCATATGACCATGCCAATGAAAATAGGGTTGTTTCCTGTCGCATGTCCAAAAACAGGGAAAGTTATCTACATGTAGGTAGCGTATAAAACCTTTTGTACATAGATTAAACACTTAAGGATGTAGACTTTTCAGTGGTAACAGGAAATTGATCAGATAATATAATTATAATCATAACAGCCAGGAGACAGAAAACACATAATTTTTTAGGCCATTCAGCTCAGTTCACTTGGTACAATGTTATCGCTTAATATCACGAACTTAATAAAGTGTCGATATGGTCATGTATACTATATACAACTATTTGAAAGTTTTGTCAATATTTCCAAGCAATAAATTCATTGATATATTCTATAAAATTATGTTCAATTAATCCACCAAGAATCATTACCTTAAATGTAGAAAATGCATCAGAAGCGATATCAAACGTTGACAGTTCAACATAATCAAAAAACTTATAAAAGGCCTCGTGGTATAAGAGTATTTTGGTGAGACTCTCTATACGACAGCACTCTCGTAGCATGCGTCCACCAAGTAAGGCAGTCTCTGGCTCCTCATACCTACAAAGGAATACAACAGGATATGTGAGGAACTCGGATACATGTACAATATAAACAGAGTAGCTCACTGATCTGGAAAACACACAATAAAGAGGCCTACATTGTACAATTGTACATATGCTTATTTCACATTTGTTTATTATCAAATTTTAATTTCTTGTCCTAAATATACAAGAAAACCTGATGAAAACAGGTGTTTTTGCAAGATTCCATTACCGGTATTTACTTTTAAATTGCTAAGAATCATATGGGGGGATCCCGGAAAAAACACAGTTTTAAAACTTTATTTGCAAACTGACTCAGCATTACTTTGATATAACTATTCATTAGAACTCATTATTACTCCAGATTTTTGTAAATGTAGAAATAAGGCCATTAGAAGTAATGGCTGACTTTCCCACTGACTACAATATTAACACCACAACCACTTCTGTAAAATGTAGTGTGGCTGATAATTGTTATTCATAGGGTTAATACAAGTGAACATCAAACAACAGACATATGTGCTGTACCACTGCTCTCTACATGGAAAAACAAAGGATGTGAAACATGTATACTTCCCAATACCAGTCATTAGATCCCAAAACAACCCTATAGTTGGAAGGAAACAGATCACTGATCTACTTCCCTGACACGATTACCACTTATCCTACCTTTGTCAGCCTTACCACTGTAATACTTTAATATATTTACAAACAAGAGGTGCAGAGGGCATGTATTGCATACCTTGATACTAACCCTTTCACCACTGTAGACCAAAATGAACTTACCAAAATCAATGCATGGTAGAGTCTATTAAAGTTACATAGGGGTGAAAGGGCTAAACAACCACGGAAAATATTCTAATTGAAGTAGCATAATTTCAATTTTTTCCCTATCTTGGGCTCTACCCCTGTGGTCCTAACAATGCTTCATGGCAAATTTGGTTGAGAACTGTATATATAGAGGTTACACACGAGTGGTTGTTGAATATGGTTTTTATTTCACTCGAGTAAATTAATTTTCAAAAGTTACTTTTGAAAATTAACTGATCGGAGTGAAATAAATACCATAATCAACAACCACAAGTCGTGGGATCTGTTTCTACCACAATCTCAGTCGGAAACAGCTGGAGTAAAAATGTGTTTGTTGACAAGGCTGGTGTAGTGATATGACCCATATGTAAAAAGTTACTCATTAATATTCAAAAATAAATTTATTTTACAAATTTTATAATTTTCAAAATTAATGTTTCGGCAACAACTTTGTGAAAAAATAAAATAGATGAACGACTTTAAATATTGAGAGTGTGCAATATTGCATTAATTAATATAAATTAACCTCGGACCATATGCGTGTAAGCATATTGTACGAAGTCTGCCTCCCGCCAAGTGATGAAGACGAACTAATCGCTGTCAATGTCCAAATCCATAGGCCTGGGACGTTTCTTCGTGAGGCTTTATGATTGACGTTTATAGTGAGAGTTCTGCAGTAGACAGACTCTCCAAATATTAATAACGGGACGTTGAGAGAACGAAATATTTTCAGACACTGTTACAGATCTTGTTTGGGTTTCAAGACCTGGATACGCGACGGTATGGTGTTGAAACGATATCAAGCGTCTGTAGCAATTTTGCCTGAAAGCGAACAAATCTTTAAGCATCATCTTCTTTTGTTATTGCCGTAATAACCCCCTTTTCCCCATCGCATTACCTCACAAAAGTCACCAACATTTTCCGGATGTTGACAGTAGACGACTAAAACAAAACAGCACGCGCCAAAAAGTGTGTGAAAAAAGTCATCTGGTCAAGGTTCATCTTCTCGACCAATCAAAACTACGGAAGGTCATATACCAGGTGTGGTGTATAACTCATGTTTATTAAACAGTCTGCATGTTTATACAATAATCTGAGAGTGGAATAACACAGCGTATTGTGGTAGAGAACTGAATACGGCTATATCATTTTAAATTGTTTCCTTGTTATGACCTAGATATAACTACAAGGGGCAGGGCAAGTTCCTGGAGCCAATCCTAGTAGTATGATTGTATTCTTTTACTCACATGCCCAGCAAAGATATACTGTTTGTACGATAGGGTTCTCAACCAGTTATGAGCGATGGACTAAGATTTTCACTACTGATCTAGATCTTCATAATATATCCCAGTCTCATGGCTCTAGACTTTTGATCCTTCACATAGTATATTTTGGTTCATATGACCTAAAACGTTTACAAATAACAAAATAATTTTTAATTAACATAAAAACATACTTATTCAAAAGTTCAAACAGGACTTCTTGTTTCGTGCAAAGATATTCCACTGTTGGCATACGTGTACCAATCTGTCGTCTAAGAAGGTTGGCAAATATTCTATCAATGTCCTTCCTACCCTGTAACAAACGAAAGAACAACAAGTTAAATACAGATTTTTTTGTACATATTTTGTATGGGATACAGCTGCCAAGCATAAGTTTCAAAATGTCATTATAGTACATATTCTAGGACTCAAAATGTCATTATAGTACATATTCTAAGACTCAAAATGTATCAAATTTTTCAATGTAATGAAAACAGCTACAAGTGGAAAACTAAAAGACATGATCATGAGCCAAGTTGTTTAAATCAAGTTGTTAGTATTAATAAGTGCCAGCATCTCAAATTTTCAAAGAATTCAAAATGAAATTTGCAATATTTAACAGAGATGATGCAGTAACATTTTAATGAGTGTAGAATTTCAGTTATCTAAGTACACATTAGATTCTGAATAAAGAACTGGATAAAGTTAATGCAGACAAATGTTTGACAGAGGTCAGACCTTGGCCTGGTCAAGTAGACCTTTGACCTACTTTTCCAATGTCACATTGGATGACATGTTTGTTACAGTAAATTAACAACATTTACCTACATACCTCAATGACTTTATGATTTGGACTTCCAAACTGCTAGTCTCTCTCTCTCTATATATATGGATGAAGTGCTAGTAAGGGGACCTTGCATTGACCTTCACAAGTAAATGTACCAGTGAATGTATACCCCAAAAGTCAACATGGAAGCATTGTTGGATTAGGAGAATTATGGCAACGTTGACCTACTGCACAAGTTCAAGTGGGTCAACATATGACCCTGGCCTACATATCTCAAGGTCAATGCATACAAAGTGTTATGTGAAAAGAATGATTATGACATACATACCTCAAAATCAATGAATATTAGGCATTTCATGACAAAAACAACCTTGACCTACATACATGTACCTCAAAGTCAATGTAGGTAAGGCATTTCATAAGAGAAATGACCTTGACATTGGCCTACATATTTATGTTAAAGTCAATGCAGATGACATGCATGAGAAGAATGACATTGCCCTACAATACATACCTCAAAGTCAATGCGGATAAGATGTTTGATAAGTAATATCAGAGTGCCAGTATTGTAGACCTCCTGGGCCAGCTGAGCCACAACCTCAGTGGACGGCTCCGAGTCAGCACTGCCATACAGCATAGTCTTCATCACTTGCAGGTTCTTTGTCAAGTCCTCTGATACCTGATCAAAAATGGTAATAAATCCTTCAAAATAAGTTTAAATCATATGTAACCTTTTATCATGTGCTTCCTCTTTTTCACAGGTTACAGATCAGGTAAAATATGTGACAAAATTGGTAATAATAGTACATTAACAAGATTTGAAATGTGTGAAAAAAATTTTTTTACTGTACACAATAAAACACACAAAATGTACTTCGTTTCACAGTTCCTTTTTTTTAGAATCAATTAAACTAGTACATTTTTTTGCTGTAAGCTGGTTTAACAAAACCAACAACGTATATGTTTTATTTAACTGCCACTGGTTCTATGCCACCTAGCTAGCACTTCCACATGCATGCATGCCTGCCTGTCTTAAAGCACTTTTTTCCATAATGCCATATACATGCACTTCACCGGAATGTTACAGTAGGGAAACAATTACCCAACACAGACCAGTTTATTCCTTACCCTTGCTTATTGAAGTTCTGTGGGCTGGAGAAAACACATTCTCTGAAAATTCCATGCTACAACAAGTTTCGGAAATGAACCTGGCACCTGTGGAATCCTGTAGTGTTACATTGATTATAAACACTCCGCCATGTCTGCCCATTACCTCCTACCATCCTAACAGAGATGTATTAGCAATGACACACTGGACTCACCTTTTTGTCAGTCTGGTATCCTTTGGCGGACTTGGTGCCCAGGACCTGCAGCTGGTCCTTGATGGCCTTCACCAGTTCCTGGGGACTCTTTTTGGAACTCCCAAAGAACGGCATGGTGCTGTTCTCCCAGGTCAAAGGTCAACACACAAGTGATGGAGAAATAGGCAGTGTGTCTGAAACCAAGTACAGAAGGTCAAGGTAATCAAATACATATTGTCAAAGAACAGACATCAAATGTATATCAGAAACCATGGTCAAGTCAAATCAACAAACTAGTGTTGGAGGAGTGTAAGCAGTGAGTCTGAAACTAAGGTCAAAGGTTACACACAAATTAAAAATAGATGATGTAAAATTAAGAATAACCAGCATGTTTAAAACCCTGGTAAAAGGCTGAATCATACATGTATTAATGCATGTGATGGAGGTAGGTGCAGCAAGTCTAAAGACAAGGTCACAGCTGGTTATATATATAACACACAGGTGGTAGAGGTATAAACAGTATGTATTAAAGCATTACATCAAAAGGTTGTATTTGTTGTCGAGTTAGTCTGAAACCAAAATCAAATATCAACATACAAAAATGTATACACAAGTACAGTTCAAAGTCAAAACATTGACCGAAAATGCAACTACAATTGTTTGTGTATTCAAATATATGCAATAAATCATTTTTCCGAGCAATGAATTTGGCATGGGAATATTATAAAATAACAAAAAAAGTTTATTTCAGTATATTGAACAAAAACATTACATTATATGTAATAAATATATGCGTACAAAAAATATAAGATTTTCAGACAGAGCTCTACCCAAATTACTGTTGTCTAGTTAATTCAAAATCAAACTAAAAATATGACATGATTATAGCCAGCTGGTGCACGCACATGTACACATTATATCATAATTACTACACTATACTGTAACAGTCCTTGATCCCAATCATCATCCCAGCCCTCCTTACTATATCCCTGTACACATTATATGATATACTACACTATACTGTCACAGTCCTTGATCACAATCATCATCCCAGCCCTCCTTACAATATCCATGTACACATTATATCATATACTACACTATACTGTCACAGTCCTTGATCACAATCATCATCCCAGCCCTCCTTACAATATCCCCGTACACATTATATGATATACTACACTATACTGTCACAGTCCTTGACCCCAATCATCATCCCAGACCTCCTTACAATATCCCTGTACACTTTATATCATATACTATACTATACTGTCACAGTCCTTGATCCCAATCATCATGCCAGACCTCCTTACAATATCCCTGTAAACATCATATCATATACTATACCATACTGTCACAGTCCTTGATCCCAATCATCATCCCAGTCCTCCTTACAATATCCCTGTACACTTCATATCATATACTATACTATACTGTCACAGTCCTTGATCCCAATCATCATGCCAGCCCTCCTTACAATATCCCTGTACACATTATATCATATACTATACTATACTGTCACAGTCCTTGATCCCAATCATCATGCCAGACCTCCTTACAATATCCCTGTAAACATCATATCATACACTACACTATACTGTCACAGTCCTTGATCACAATCATCATCCCAGCCCTCCTTACAATATCCATGTACACATTATATCATATACTACACTATACTGTCACAGTCCTTGACCCCAATCATCATCCCAGACCTCCTTACAATATCCCTGTAAACATCATATCATACACTACACTATACTGTCACAGTCCTTGATCACAATCATCATCCCAGCCCTCCTTACAATATCCCCGTACACATTATATGATATACTACACTATACTGTCACAGTCCTTGACCCCAATCATCATCCCAGACCTCCTTACAATATCCCTGGAAACATCATATCATATACTACACTATACTGTCACAGTCCTTGACCCCAATCATCATCCCAGACCTCCTTACAATATCCCTGGAAACATCATATCATATACTACACTATACTGTCACAGTCCTTGATCACAATCATCATCCCAGCCCTCCTTACAATATCCCTGGACACTTCATATCATATACTATACTATACTGTCACAGTCCTTGATCCCAATCATCATCCCAGACCTCCTTACAATATCCCTGTAAACATCATATCATATACTACACTATACTGTCACAGTCCTTGATCCCAATCATCATCCCAGCCCTCCTTATAATATCCCTGTACACTTTTATAGCTGTATTGGTAACAAGATCATTATAACTACGTACAATGTACAAGATGTCATTGACCAGTGAATTACTTTGACATCCGATACCACTGATCCTACAGATATTGTAGGATAGAAACGCTATCAAATGATACATGTGATCCTTAAATAACTCGGTGTTAGTCTGAGCTGGTGTCACAAAAAGTTCACAGCCAGTATAAAACATACAGCAGCACCTGACAGTCTAGTGACAGGAATCAGTTTCATTTTCACAATCAATTATCTAACACATAACCAATTGATTATCAATATACATTATAATTGGTCTATGTGCTTTTAGAATAATTCTTGCTGAAAATACAGAATCTAAAGAGTTTTGAAACAAAACTACATTAAAATTACAATTAGCTGGAAGCCCCATATATCCCCATCCCTGGGCCCCCTGTTTCAATACCCCCCACCCCACAAATTTATTTGGCTATGGTTTATGTCCATGATTTCCCTATCTGATATATCCCTATAGATAAACATGTCTCTATGTATGTATACAGTGTTGGGTTGTACTTTAGGTGTCTATTGACTGAGAGCAGGTCCACTGTCGATGTTTACCTTATGCACTCTCTCATATATTCATCCTATTCTAAAACATGTACAGTGAGCTTTAACAGAAAGTATCAGACATTCATAGCACATATATATGATGTATAGACAGATAGGGCAAAGACATTTCACATCAATACAGGATGTAAATTTCATTGTTTACAAATCAAACCAACAAGTTAAATTCTAATATTTAAATCCATAACCTCAAAGCTAATAAGTCTACCAGTGTGGCAAATTTGAAATTGTTCATCATCACTTGAACAATTAGTTCCTTTATTTTGAATACATGATAAAATATTCAAGGAAGTCCAAATATCTACATTTTCTCACTGTCGAACAACAAGGTGTAAAGCCAGGTTGGAGCACCGAGTGAGTGTTATAAGACTTCACACACTGGTCTAGATACTGTACTATATAGATACAACACACCACCACCTGTCAATTAGCTATAGCTCTGATGACAATAAACAGTTTAACACCAAACACTCAATGTTAGAACACTTGATCGTGATAGAGTCCAGATCACCTGGTTTAATTGATGCACTGGGAGTCGGATCACTGATATATATATATATATATACATGTGTGCAGTCGGTGCTGCATCACACACACACGCCGCGGATGCCAACCCCACTCCCCAAGTCACCAGATCAATATTTGTGTGCATGCTAGACATGAGTAAATCTTCCTACTTCTGGTGCAACAGGTAGGAGCCCAAGTCTACAGCTTGGTGTTTCAATTTGTCTATCCTGCTTTTTTCAGAAACGTTGTTGTTTGCAAGAGCAATAGATAGACATTAATAGTTCCACAAAAAGTATACGACTACTGCATGCAGCACTTTGTTTTAGAACGTTTATCCTCTAAGTATTATTTTTGCCATCAAAATAGCTTTCACGATGTGTCCCTAATACAACATTTAAACTGCGAGTGTTAAAAGGCCTTTTCAGGTCCACATACATTTAAAAATGCAATTTGTAACAGAAACCTGTATTTTCTCAGAAAATTATTAATAAACGTATTTGTAATAAATTATATGAAAAGACTGATATTTACATCAAGGTTCATATCGCAAAATTTGGAATCATTTTATACATCATTTACAGTTTTTATGTTATTTAATGAAAGATTTGAATTCCATGATCCCAGCTGTCATTTATTAATTGACATTTACAGTGTAAGTGAACAATAAAATGAACATGCAATTTGCACGATAGACAATTTTAAACTTTTTCTACAACAAACTCAATCATCTATATTATTATAAATGCTGTGCATGTGCATGTATACATACATGTATCCTAAAATTATTTGGGATTGAAAAAAAAAAAAAATCTCCGCACATGCATATAAATTAAGTAAAAAATTTTTTTTTTATGTATAGTTAATTACCTACCTATCCTATTTTTTTTCAGACACGTAACAGGAAGCAAACATGTTTTTTGTTTGGCCTGATGCATCCTATTTTCATGATATTCAAAGCTACATCTCCAAACAATTAAATTTGCATGCATATATGCATATGGTTATTGCACGTGAGTCACATCGCTAGTTTCCCTTGCGATGATACATCAGCAGGCAGTGGAACATTATTTGAGTGAGACAGTCTGGACTTGCTAAAGTGAGTTCTATCTGTTATTCTGTAATTAAACTGAATTGTACAAAATCATAATCCTGCCTCATATCATTTATGGCAGACAATGCATACTGAAATACACTGTGTGAGGAATATTTTAGCCAAAAATATACATAATTATAACTAAAGCTCATTATAAGATGTATCCCTGTCACCAGAAAGACTGGTCTCCAAATCTTCTGGATTGTAATTAATGTTGAACATTAATGATTCTTGTGAGGCAATATTTGGGGAACTATCATACAACTTCAGGGTAAACTAAGGTTCCCATATATGTGGTAACCAAATAGTTTTCCATGTTCTATGTATAAGAGAATTTATCTTAACATTTTCTCGGAAAATTTGAAGTTATTGTGCTCATGCGGCCTACAAAGTTATGGTGATTTATTCAGACATGCCTGACTGCTCCTCATACCTGCAAGCTGCAGGACATATTTCATTATCAGAGACCTAGACTCCTGCAACTGGCCATGTATATTCGGAACAATTATATGTAGTTACAAGTTTCAACACATATGCATTTAACCCTAGGCCAGTGACCATAGGTCAAGATCATCATATGTATACATTAACAAACTCAAAACTGTAGTTCTTAATCGAAGAATAATATAACATATGTAAACACATGTACTACAGGCCAAGCTTTGTGATCCTTGTACATGTGAAGTCTTTATAATTCAGACAATTTTTTTTTTCTAAGATTTTTACATGTTTCATCCCCAAAACTTTGAGAGTAGTTCAGTTATTTATTTGAACAAAATTGATTGTCCTTCACCTGCACGATAGTAAATGCTACTGGCCGAATATCATGATTGTCCCTCACCTGGACGATAGTAAATACTACTTGCCGTATATCATGATTGTCCTACACCTGCACGATAGTAAATACTACTGGCCGAATATCATGATTGTCCTTCACCTGCACGATAGTAAATACTACTGGCCAAATATCATGATTGTCCTTCACCTGCACGATAGTAAATACTACTGGCCAAATATCATGATTGTCCTTCACCTGCACGATAGTAAATACTACTGGCCGAATATCATGATTGTCCCTCACCTGCACGATAGTAAATACTACTGGCCTAATATCATGATTGTCCTTCACCTGCACGATAGTAAATACTACTGGCCAAATATCATGATTGTCCCTCACCTGGACGATAGTAAATACTACTGGCCGAATATCATGATTGTCCTTCACCTGGACGATAGTAAATGCTACTGGCCGAATATGATGATTGTCCCTCACCTGCACGATAGTAAATGCTACTGGCCGAATATCCTGATTGTCCTTCACCTGCACGATAGTTAATGCTACTGGCCGAATATCATGATTGTCCTTCACTTGCACGATAGTAAATACTACTGGCCGAATATCATGATTGTCCTTCACCTGCACAATAGTAAATACTACTGGCCAAATATCATGATTGTCCCTCCCCTGGACGATAGTAAATACTACTGGCCGAATATCATGATTGTCCTACACCTGCACAATAGTAAATGCTACTGGCCGAATATCATGATTGTCCTACACCTGCACGATAGTAAATGCTACTGGCCGAAAGTCATGATTGTCCCTCACCTGCACGATAGTAAATGCTACTGGACGAATGTCATGATTGTCCCTCACCTGCACGATAGTAAATACTACTGGCCAAATATCATGATTGTCCTTCACCTGGACGATAGTAAATGCTACTGGCCGAATATACTGATTGTCCTTCACCTGCACGATAGTTAATGCTACTGGCCGAATATCATGATTGTCCTTCACCTGCACGATAGTTAATGCTACTGGCCGAATATCATGATTGTCCTACACCTGCACAATAGTAAATGCTACTGGCCGAATATCATGATTGTCCTGCACCTGGACGATAGTAAATGCTACTGGCCGAATATCATGATTGTACTTCACCTGGACGATAGTAAATGCTACTGGCCGAATATACTGATTGTCCTTCACCCGCACGATAGTTAATGCTACTGGCCGAATATCATGATTGTCCTACACCTGCACGATAGTAAATGCTACTGGACGAATGTCATGATTGTCCCTCACCTGCACGATAGTAAATACTACTGGCCGAATATCATGATTGTCCCTCACCTGCACGATAGTAAATGCTACTGGCAGTGAATTGGTTAATTAGGTGAGGTTGATTTTTGACCTTTAACCTTGAAAGTGGGTCATGAGAGTAATTCAATGAACAAATAAACTGGATAGATCTATGCATTCATAATCATCACTGCATGCTACAGGTCAAACTATCCCTTAAGTCTCTTGCTTCTTCAGGAAATGAAGCAAAAAGTTGACAGAAACAGACATTTGATCAATGCAAGATCACAACAAGCCACAAATTGATATGTTATTCCAATTTGATCGCCACATAATTTGAAGTACTGCAGGCTAATGAACTGTTTCATGAGACTGCAGCTGTTAGTCCCTCTATAGATTAAAGTACCAGTGAAATGATAACCACACCCTCTACTTCATCATTGGGATTGTAGAGCCACATATACACTGACAAGATGATGTGGAGCAATTCCATTTATACATTTGTCCTTACAAATTTAGCAGAACATTCTCATCTCAGTAGTTGTGCCTCCCCATCCCCAGCAGTCAGTCACTGTCAGTACAACAATTAAAACACTGCTTGGCAACCATTCTAGCAGGATGGACAAAGGTTGGTATAAATTCTGTGTCTTTGACCACCAACCACCATAGGAGGACAATGGGGACCATGCATAGACAGAGATCTGTGGACCATAGCCACTGTGTCGACGGTCTATCTAGATCTGCACCTGAGAAGCAGTTTGATTTTAGGGTGTGACCTCGAAAGGCATAAGGACTTTTTGAATATCAAGAGGGTCTGTTTAGCAGCAACTTATACCCCCCACGTCTCTGAAACACAGACTACCCTCAGTAAAAGATGTAAAACCAGTAACCAAACAACACCAATCATATCAGATCCAAATAGCAACCTCAACAAGGGCAGCAGAGATTGAGACCTGATGGCAATGTAGACACCTTTTTGTCACATGTTGATGATCCATCAATCAGCATCATTGCAATGTATGACCTGTCTGTTACTGTAACAGACACAGTATGTTACCTTCAACAACATGTGAAGCTAAATTAAACTTCGAATGGCATGTGAAACACTGTTAGAAATATATTTTATACAGATATCAGGGGGGCGGGGGTTAATTGTTTAATGTGGAGAGTATGAGGGTAAGCTGTTCCATTCCGCTATGGTCCTTGGCATGTAAGAGAACTTGAAAAAGTCTTTGGATGCCTGAATTGGACGATAGCATTGGTTCCCCTGAGTGAGTCCTGGAGTCAGCCTTGGTTAAGTACTGGTCGGCTGGTATAGCTATGAGATCGTGATCGAGTGATCTTATAGAAGTTGACCAGCCTGGCCTTCCTCCGACGACTCTGCAAGGAGTCCCACTTGAGGGAGTCAACCATTGCGGAGACATAACCTGGAGTTCTCGAGTGAAAGTCATTATAGACGTATCTGGCAGCTCTTCTCAGGACAGACTCGAGTTGATATGGTCTGCACGGTATGGGTCCCAGGCAGAGCATGAGTATTCAAGCTGAGGTCTTACCAGGGCAGAGTAAGTGAGGGCTTTGACCCGCCAGGTGCATCCAGATATGTTGCAGCGCAGGAATCCTAGAGTTCTGTAGGCTTTGGCACAAATGCTGCTAACATGTGGGCCCCAGGATAGGTCATGGGATAAATTTAAAGTTACCCCCAGCTGCTACTTGCTAATTAACTGGGACTACCTGTAGTGATTTCTGGTGGATTGAATAGTCGAAGGAAATGGGAATATGTGTTTTAGATGTCATGATGACAAAGCATCTATCAGCATTCATTTGCCAGTCAGATTCCCATTTCTGGAGGTTTACAAGATCTTGTTGGGAGTTGCTCACAGTCTCTGACTGTATTGATGGGTCTATAAAAGGCGTTCCCACTATGGCTCATTTCCCCTTAATCCCGTTTGCCAACAAGGTTGTTTCGCCCTAATACAAATATATATTTTCAAATGATAAGTATCTGATGATATGTTTAAAACCTTTTTTTTTTAATAATTTCGCAAGGTGCAAGCTAAGTGGTAGCTACATTGTATGTACAGACCCGCGCCTGGTCAACCACATACACATCTAAAGAGTCTAATGACAAAGAAGACGATAGGAGACCTAGAAAAGCTGGAGATTAGACTGTCATTGCCATACACAACTAAACAGGACTAAAACATTGCACTCTAAAAATATGTTTAGGCCTAGGGTGAAACAACTTGGTTTGAAATAACCTCAGGGCAAACGGGATTTAGGGCGAAACCACCTGACACCTCCTGAAATCAAACTGTGATTAGATTCGTTACTACACAAACATATCATCCAACAGTATTCTACATACCAAAATGTGTCAACATCAAGTTCAACGACACACCTTTATTCAGTCATCCCATCGTGACTGTCAAAGTAGTCGACAACGTTTTCCTGTCAAAATAGGGTGATGACATATTGAAACCATTTACCCAACAGAATCGCCTGTAAATCGAGCTTCACAGACTATAATGTTGGAAAACACCATTCTTGTAAAAGCATAAACATAATTTCGACTGATTTGGCACAAGAAGACAGCAGATGGGACCACACGACTTACAGTTACATTCTGTGATGAAAATGAGGTTATTTACAGCATAAGTTTGTCCATTATGTGGACGACATGGATTTAGAGACAATCACAAGTCCTTCTGAGTCGAATGTAACTTACAAAAGTCTCCACGTTGAGCTGTAACCAATTATTTACATCCAGGAAGACAAACTAAACCACTTACCAAACGTACTCGTCCAATGTATACCTGAAGATATTGTGAAGTGACGTCACATGTACAAGATCCTCATTGCGCATACACGGAAGTGAAACTAAAATGGAAACAGGACAACATGTGTACGTGTGCACAGTGGCGAAGAGAGGGAACTTTGAACCCAGATTAATGATTTGAGAAGAAACTAGTCACGTATACTTTTACTACAAATCATGGAGGTAGGAAGAACCCAACCTGTTAGGACAGATGTCATCGTTATTGGAGCTGGGATTTCAGGACTAGCGGCTGCCAAATGTCTACACGAAGCTGGGTTGGAAACTCTAGTGTTAGAGAGGACTGGGGAAGTTGGAGGGCTGTGGACTTTCAGAGAGCATGACTATGGTGTGATGAGGTTCACACACATGTACGTATTTGCACAAAAATTGACATTCATTTATGTATACAAATACCCTACCATGACCATACGTACATGTCAAAATATATTCTATGCTCAGTAATACAGGTCCAGTACGCTCTGCCGATTGAGCTATATAGCTGTAAAGACCTATAATAGCTCTATTGACCTATCTGAAATAGGTCTTAATAGCTATTTTCATGTGATTTTCTTTTTAAAAAAAAACGAAACATGGTCGCTTTTAAAATAAGATTTTATCATTAGGTTGATAACAAAAGACATCAAATATAAGTATTATTTTTAAAAAATAATGATGTAAAAGAATCGGAAAATTTTCCATTTATGAACAATGAAAATAAACATCTAACTGTATGCTCTCTGTAGTCAACATTACCATAAACCTTATTGTTTTATGCGACTTTGCTTTATTTTAATGAAATTTGAAATCTGAGAAAATATAGCTCAATACAGCTTTAATTTATAGGTGTATATAGCTAATATAGGTATTTATATCTATATAGCTGTAAAGACCTATAATAGCTCTATTGACCTATCTGAAATAGGTCTTAATAGTTATTTTCATGTGATTTTCTTTTTTAAAGAAAACGAAACATGGTCGCTTTTAAAATAAGATTTTATCATTAGGTTGATAACAAAAGACATCAAATATAAGTATTCTTTTTAAAAAATAATGATGTAAAAGAATCGGAAAATTTTACATTTATGAAAAATGAAAATAAACATCTAACTGTATGCTTTTTGTAATAAACATTACCATCAACCTTATTGTTTAATGCGACTTTGCTTTAATTTAATGAGATTTGAAATCTGAGAAAATATAGCTCAATACAGCTATAATTTATAGGTGAATATAGCTATATAGGTCTTTATAGCTATATAGCTCAATCGGCAGAGTGTACTGGACCTGGTTACATGCCACGACAAGTGACAGTTGTGACATATTATCCAATATAACTAACATACCTTGCATAGTGACATATAGCTATGACCACAGACTTAGACAGGGTTTTTCCCAAATCATGTAGATTCTCGCGCTTTCTAGCAGTTTCTCACAACATGAAAGTGCCCTAGACATATTTCCTATGTTGCCTAAATTCCCTCTAATCTAATTCCGTGCTATGACATATATATATATATATATAATTCAATAGAGGTACACCACAAAATATATCTGTAGTGCGACTGGGTCGATCACCGGCGAGCAGGTAGCTCAATTGATTAGAGCGTCTGCCGAGTGTTCGGAGGGTCCAGGTTTAGAACCCCAACCTAGCATTTGCATTTCTCTTTGTCCTGTTTCAAATTTAGCACCCAACGAAATATACCCACAGAAAGTGGTAAAGAGACTTCATTGTGTGTCTTCGGGTTTTAAGGCTTTGTAAAAGGAGAGAGGAGTGTAGCGGAACTGGCCCAGGACTGGTTCATTCGCAGGCGACCTGAGGTGGCTCAATTGAGTAGAGGGTCCGTCTGGAGTTGGGAGGGTCCTGGATTCAGACCCTGGTCTAGCAGTGCATTTCTCTTTCTCCTGCTACATAACTATGACAAAGAGATTTATCGAAGTATAATAATTACCAAACAAGAGGCCCAATGGGCCTGCATCGCTCACCTGGTATAAATCTCACACTTGTAACCTTAAAAGTGATCTAAAATAAAGCTACAGGCAAAATATCAGTATTTATGATTAAAATTCGTTCAAAAGACCCTGTTAATTCTTTTTTAAACATTTCACCCCTGTGATTGAAAGTCGAACAAAGTCATTATGTTGAACAAATTTTATAGCCTTCCATGTCAGGATGCAACTTGCAAAGTATCAACATCCTGGGACCCATGGTTATTCAGAAGAGGTCGTTTAAAGATTTTAAACAAATTTGACCCCTGTGACCTTGAATATAAGTCAAAGTCATTCACTTTAACAAACATAGTAGTCCTTGATCCCAGCATGCTACTGACTAAATATCAACATCCT